ACAAATATTGTATTTGTTCCCGTTTTGTTTTTTTACTTCAAAATAAGATATGTACAGTGTGCATAGGAATTTGTTCATAGTTTTTTTTTAAACTATAGTCCGGCCCTCCAACGGTCTGAGGGACAGTGAACTGGGCCCCTGTTTAAAAAGTTTGAGGACCCCTGATTTAAGTAATTTCCCACATATATCTGGTTGTTGCTACCGTGCTTTCTTCTTGTAACAAACAATACACACTCTTAGAAGTGGAATTTACAGAGTCAAGGAGCTGCGTTTTCAATGGGGTGAGCTATTTCTAAGTTACCGCGCACGGATTTACACTCCCGCCAAGACTGTCTGAGAGTGTTTCCACATGCTCACCGATCGGTCTTCCTTTGAGATTTGAAATTCCTGCCATTTTAGTAGTTGAAAATTTTTACCATGTCTTTGTTAGGTTCACGTGCCCTGAGCTTTTCTTTTTCTTTTTTTACGGAAGACTAATAGCTATTTGTATATTTGTGTGAATTTCCTAAATCATGTTCTGTATTTGTCTCTTGCCATGTCCATTTTATGAAAGAAGAAACCATTCACTAGGCTAGGTTACCGTTTAATAGATAACCGCCGACAGTTCACAGGAAACCATAAGTGTGCATACTCCACACACGAACACTTGTACAAACACTGACTGACTCACTTGGAGGCCTGAAGGAAAGCCTTGAAATGAAAGCGTGGCCTCGCAGCCTGAGAAGAGAGGGAAAGCAGTCTGTCTAGAGAGAGCTGTGGGAGTCTGGCCTCCCTCTATTAGTTTTCTATCGCTGCATAAAAAATGGCCAGAAACTGAGCAGCTCAGCTCACAGTTTCGCTGGGACAGGAGTCCGGGCACAGCATGACTGGCTTTTTGCCCAGGTCCCACAAATTAAAATCAAGCCATTGGCTGGCTGTGCTCAGTATCCTAGGTTCATGCCATTATATTTGCAACTCAGTTCCTTGCAACCATAGGACTGAAGTCTCTGTTTCCATGCTGTCAATCAGCTGGAGGCCACGCCCAGCTGCCTGTGCTCCTGGCCACATGTGCCCTCCAAAGCCAGCAAAGGAGAATCTCCCTTATGTCACCTCCTCATGCTTCCAATCTCTCTACTTCTAGACCCAGATCTAGAGATATCATGGGATGAGGACAGGCCCGCCCGGGACATTTTACCCATCCGAAGGTCAGCTGATCTGGAACAAATCAGAATGGCAAAGTCGCATCACAGCAGCACCGAAATTAGTGTTTGATTGACTGATGGGGAGAAGGTCTGTGTATAGCAGGAGCCAGGGATCTTGCAGATCATCTTAGAATTTTGCTGACCTCACTCCCCACCTGCTTTCCTCGAGGGAAGCGGATGGAGCTCCAGTCATCTGGCTGAGGGAATCAATCCCCCTGAAACATCGAATGCCGGAAGCAGCGGGCATAACTGGCATCTGTCTAACCCTGTGCACACAATACACCCGAGTGGGTCACAGATCCAAGGGAGCGATGAAACAGCAGAAAGCTAGAGATAAAGTCTAGGAAGCCACATGGACAACATAGGGCTCAGGCAAACTCTCCTGACCAAGGATCCAAACCAGGCATTTCCTCCTCCACCATCTGCCCTCTTGACCCCCACACCGTAGCCCACCGAGGACAAGCCACTCGCCAGCTGCACACACGGGTTTTGAGTCCTCCAACCTTGCCATTTCCTCTAACGTCAGTCTGATCAGAGTGTGGTTTTGTGAGCTGTTGGCCGTGGGTAGTCCATAGAAGAGAATGAATTGACTAAGTAAGTGAGCCACTAAGAGGAACTATTGATGAGCATTATTCTAAAAGAGTCCTAAAGAATCTTTCCTCCTCCTTCTCTTTCATCTTCCCACCTGCTGCTGTGATTCAGGTGCCTTATTCGTGACTTGCTTGAGACCGAAGAGGTTTATATAAAAGAAATGAAGAGCATAATTGATGTAAGTAGGTTGGGGAGGGGGATGTTAAACACGTGTTCAAATTGAAGAAATTTTGTTACACAGAGAACCAAAATAGTTGCCATGTGTCTCTGGAATTCCCCCCTAGGTTTTAGGTCTTATAATATTGCAAGTGTTTTACCAGCTGGAATAAGCACATTCTCATGACTATTGATCCATGTAACTAAATACCTTCTAAAGGATTGTGCCACTTCATACTGATTCTGGTACTGCCCAACTAGGTTCACCACATGCTTGCCAAAAAATGGAGATGGTCAATGACATGTTTCTGATAATTTAAGAAGAGAGTATTGTTTCTCATTGTTTTAAGTAGCACATTTTTCTTACTAGTGAAAATGTGTATTTTCCTAAGGGCATAATCTTGAGGAATAAATTATATGTACAAAATTACAATATAATTTTTTACCACAAAATATCAGAAAGCCAAATATCCAATTAAAAAGGAAAGAAATGTGTAATCAAGTCTAATATACATGCTAATTATTTTGCACCAGTTAAATAATAGTGAAATGTTATTCAACTGTTACAAATTATTATTTTGAATAATTTGTAGCAACACTGAAAAATGCTTAAAAGATTACATTAAAAACCATATATGTAGAAATTTACAAGCAGACTCTAAAATGTATTTGGCAAAACAATACAATTTATTTATGTATGGTGATTATAACCACATAAAATAAGCTTTCTAAAAGTCATGCAGGAGATATAATAAAATGGCAGTAATTGCAACAGGTCATAAGATGATAGGTAAGTTTTTAAAAATGTATTTGCTCTTCCTATAAAAGTGCCTTTTTATTATCATTCCCAATAAACCATCTTCTTCTGAAGATGGACCGATGAGGAAAATAATATCAAAAGAATCTGATGAATGGCTTTCAGGAGATATGTGTTCCATATTCCCCAATTATTTTATTAAAGTTGTATTCCCTGGAGTAGCTAATTCAGATCATCTCTCATATGTTCTATCTGTAAAACCTACCTTGTTTGCACCTCTGCAGGGATATATCACTCCAATGGATTATATGTGGCTAAAGCATCTGATTCCAGATGTTCTTCAGAATAACAAGGACTTTCTCTTTGGGAATATTAGAGAACTCTACGAATTTCACAACAGGTATGTAATAATTCAAATGACCAGGAAAAATGGAAAGTAAGAGAAGGCTGGAAATCAGACTGATGGAATTTGGCCATGAAAGTACTTAGATATTTTCAGGCTTAAGCAAGTAGCCCAGAATCAGTGGGTTGGGATGGGATGTGAAGGAGGGGAGAAGTGCAGCGAGATCCCTGGGGGGAAGAGGGAAAAGACATTAATGAAGCCTGAACTAGGTGTCAGGCATCAATGTTGTATTTGTGCCTGCGTTCTTTTGCAAATTTATCTATTTATGCATCAGCATTCATTGAGCACCTGTTGGGTGTCAGCCCCTGTTCTGTATGGGGAATACAAAGATGACCGTGCCTTAATAGGGTAGTGCTGGGAACTAGGGTGTTAGAAATGCTAACCAGTCAAACAAGTCATCCTTTTAGCCCAGGGCGCTTTAAATGCCGAGTTCTAGAGAAATAGAGGACAAAAGGACTTTGGAAATCATTTTCCAACCCTTGCATTTTGCAGATGAGTAAACCTCACTTTACTCACTAGACTGACTCCAAAATTACACATCTAATTGCCAGAAGGGGAAAGAACCTTGGTTGTTTCCTAACCACATCTTAGGTCTATTGGTCTGTTGTCAAAACCGAAATGGAAATCTCATTTCTAATACTTTCCCTGGGAATCTATGTAGCCTCTCTTAACCTCGGGTTTATGAAACCCTATCTTGCAAGGTTCGGTGGAAGATTAAATGAGATATTGTTTGTGAAGCCCTCAGCTTCTGCCTCGCTCATAGGAAGCTTGGGTGATAGCAGTGGTGGCAGCAGCAACAGCAGCCGTTCTTATTAACCTTAATGGGTGTCAGGAAGCATCGTGCATCCCATCTGCAGTGGCTCGTGCTTAGAATTATCAGGGAATTTAATGTGGTTGTTTTAGGGGATCCTACCCATGTCACAGAATACACTTTTTTTCTTCCAAGTCAGTGTGTTGAAGATGAAGCAAGAGCAATAAAGTTCAGAAAACAATGTTTTTTCCAGGCACTTCTTAAAACCTTATATGATTTTACTTTAAAAAAAAAAGTAATGCATGTAAATGTCATTTTAAAAGCATTATTGTACTTCCCCACTCCCCCACCCCCCAGGACTTTTCTAAAAGAATTGGAAAAGTGCACCGAGAATCCTGAACTTCTGGCTCGTTGCTTTCTCAAGAGAGTAAGTCTGCGTTCCTAAACAATCAGAATAACCTTGTGAGTCAAGTCAGCCCTTAATCTGCCGTGTAGGTGGCAGGGCTAATGGCAACGCCAATGGTCTAAAAACACATCTGCCTTTGGAAGGCAAAGCAGAAGTCCCCTACACAACGCCACACGGTGTGAGACATGTTCAGTCTGAGCTCACTCATGGGTGGGGGCCTTATAAGCCTGGCTTCCGGCAAAGCCCAGTGACATGAAAGACTGGCCCCCAGGCAACCCAAAGCAGCTGATCCTGAATAACTCTGCGTGACTAACCTAACTCTTTTAGGACCAGAGTCACACTTACATTCCTCACTAGTTGTGTTAGTACTCTCAAGAGAAGTAGTACTGATGTTAAACTGAAAATCCCTGAAAATGTATTGACTTCCATTTGATGTTTTATAGCGTAGAGGGTGGCAAGAAAATGTTAACTCTACGGCCTCTCGGACGGATCGCATCCGATTTGTGAATTTCCTGTTCTACAACCACATACGTCTAACGACCTCCCCTTCCAACCACACAGCCCTCTTCCCACTCAGACTTCTCCACCCCTGCTCTGGGCAATAAATAAGTTGTTGGGGTCAGTGGTGCTCCCTGGGTGCTAGAACCCATGTGTTCCCCTCCCCATAGGAGGACTGCAGATGATCCTGCTGCCCTCAGCTTCCTAAATCTTTCCCATTTCTTCTCTCTTAGCCATTCTTTTCCATTTCTTGTTTTTATTTTTATTTTTGTGAGTCTGAGACAACAGATCAAAGAACGTCCAAATTTTTAAACAACCCAAATTATGACTCAGGAGTTTAAGAGAAATACTTGTGTAAACTGAGAGCAAGCAAACAAGAATCCCTAGGTTTCAAGGTATTGGACATCGTGGAAAAACAGAGCTTTCAACCCTCAGAGCTCCCAACCAGCTTAGAAGACCCCTCCCTCCATGGCCCTGCATGCACTTTCCAAGCATCAAGTGCTGGAAACTGTTTCGTATTCAATCTCATGATTTCCTTTTTGAATTGTTTTTACAGATTATTAGTGCTTTTCCTTACTTTACAATTTTGCACTTATCAAGTCACCAATGTGAAATCTAGTTTCACAGTTTAGAAATATTTTATAAACACTTACATCATTACTAGAGGCCTGGTGCACGACACTCGAGCGCTGGGGGGGGAGAGGGAGCGGGGGAGGAGGGGGTTCCTCAGCCTGGCCTGCTCCCTTTAGCAGTGACACCCTTAGCGCTGCCATCCTGTCATCTCCGCTGCGCTCGCCAGCCATCAGCCCAGCTGGTGGCTGAGCAGCGCTCCCCCTGTGGGAGTGCACTGACCACCAGGGGGCAGCTCCTGTGTTGAGCATCTGCCCCCTGTTGCTCACTGTGAATCATAGCAACTGGTTATTCTGCCATTTGGTCAATTTGCATATCTGTGAATCAGCAACTGGTTATTCTGCCATTTGGTCAATTTGCATATTACCCTACTAGAGGCCCGGTGCACAAAAATTTGTGCACTGGCGGAGGGGGGGTGTACCTCAGCCCCACTTGTGCCTTCTCACAGTCTGGGACCCCTCTGGAGATAACGACCTGCTGGCTTAGGCCCACTCCCGGGTGGCAGAGAGCAAG